TGCTCGAGCACAAAGCAACGATTGGCATTGGCGCGAGTCTGGTCCTAGGCCGGAAAGAACCATTGAGACAAACATGTCGTTAGGGACGGTTCCGCCGCACTTCCTGATGTGGTCGCGCAGGTTGCGGCACCGGTTGATACACGGTCCCGCTTTCTCCCCTTGTTGCATTTTGACCGATGTAAGCTGGCTAAGTAGGCGACTCATTGTGACGGGATCTGTTGCCATGTATGAGTTGCGCAGGTGCTCCTAAGAGGCGTACGCAGGTGCCCACTCTGATTTGTAGGAGTGAATGCCGAGCTGCTCGGAAGGGGAGAGGTTTTGGAGGAGAGTGGTGTATGTGAGAAGAGACTGTTGATAGTACTCGTTCTTCTCTTGGATGGTGCCTTCTGTTGGAAACGGTAAGCTTCCATCGTAGTACATCCAGATCTGAGCAGTTGTCGCGAGGAGCTCAAACTCGAAGCTCCACGTGTAAAAGTCCTTTCTGTCGAAGGGAACTGATGTTTTCAGCTTCGAGGTCAGAACGAACTTTGTCTGCATTGTTGCGATTGTATCTGAATGTGCGCGTTGTTGACTGTCTTGCACAGAAGCTGAAGCTTGATGGTTTTCAAAAATGAAAGACCTCTCGGAGTTGACACGGCGGTCTTCTCCAGGGAGAGGAAGTCCAGCAACTCCGCGTGCGTAGCTCGAGCCATCGATGCTCATTGCTTGATGGCTCTCAAGAGCATTGATGCGGGCGACCAGCTGCTCAACGAGAGCGGCGCTGGCGGAGGTAACCGCTGATGGTGCAGTAGGTGTTGCTGGTGGTGGGCACGGAGAATCAGCAATGGCTTTTTCTTCTAGAACCATAGTAGTGCAGAGTTTGTAATGATGTAACGAGTAATTTATAAGGAGGTTGTTCTAGTAAGAACAAGAACTTAGCATGCCTTATCATCCACTCTAGCTCTCATACCATGTTGTTATTACTGAAGGATCGTAGTGGATAGGATAAGCTGTCATAATGTTATAATTGTCTAGCCTGCAGTGGGGTACTCCATAGTGAGTACAGCCCAATTAGGGTTTGCTATATGTGTCCAACTGCTTGCTAGTGAAACCTCCTCCTTTCATCATTCTTACTTTCTACTGCTAGTTCCTGACATGGATTCAGAGCAGGTCGACCCCCTTGGGTCGATCCTGTGGGTGGGTCCGCCACCTAACTGCTTCCGCTGCTGTTCTGCTTCTCGCGCGCCTCGGGTGCGCGCTGTCTTCCTCCTGCCGTGCGCTCGGGGCGCGCGGCGAGTTTCTGCCCGCCGTGCGCCCCGAGGCGCGCGGCGGTTTTCTGCCGTGGGGGATCCGCGCGCGCCCCCCCTCCCCTCGCCATCCCGTCGCCCGTCGCGGCGCCCAGGGGGGCCGCGCATCGCGCTGCCCGTCACCCGTCGCGGCGCCCTGGGGACTAGCGCATCGACCCCCCCCCCCCTCCCGTCGCCCGTCGCGGCGCCCTGGGGGGCCGCGCGTCCCCCCCTCCTGTCACTCGTCGAGGCGCCCTGGGGGCGCGCGCGCCGCCCCGTTTCTGCTCACACATCGCCCCAGCTGCTGCCCCCGTTTTTGCCCTCCGTTTGGGGGTATGGGGGTGGCAAGTATGGGGGTGGCGGATGTGTGATCCATCCCCTACTCCTCCTCCTCCTCCGTCTCCCACTGCTGCAGCTGCCGCTGAGGGGGGTGGGTGTGTGGGAGCCGAGGGTTTAGGGTTTAAGGCGGGTGACGTGGAAGTGAAGCTAGGATTTCTGCAGGGGGTGTGTGTCAAGGGTGTGGGTCAGCTGGAGGAGGTTGTGTGGAGGTAGCTGTCGTGTCGCCTGCAGCGCCTGTAGTCCGTCGCCCTTGCTTCGGTAGCCAGTGAGCCTGTTGCACCAGTCGCCAGTGGGTCCGTTGCTCCTGCCGCTCGTCTTAGCCGCGAAGCCAGTCACTCTAGTAGTCCGTCGCCTTTGCTTCGGTAGCCACTGTGGGTCCGTCGCCCTTGCTTCGGTAACCCTGAATCAGCAGCTCCTGTGCCCGTGCCTCTGCAGCTTCAGACGTTGCCTCCCATCTTCTCTCCTTCCACAGTTCCTCCTCCTCCTCACTTGCCCGCTGTGATTACCACTAGCTTTGCTTGTAATTGTGAACTATTACTATGCTTGCTTGTTGTGCTGATTACACCCCACTTTGGCTATGGGGGTGTGTCAGAATGTTATAATTGTCTAGCCTGCAGTGGGGTACTCCATAGTGAGTACAGCCCAATTAGGGTTTGCTATATGTATCCAACTGCTTGCTAGTGAAACCTCTTTCTTTCTTCATTCTTACTTTCTACTGCTAGTTCCTGACATAAGCCTGTTAAGTGTGTGAGAAGACTTTGAAGACTCTGTAATGACCTTGTTAATAAGGTTGAAAGAACAAGATAATTATAACACAAATGTACAAGAATATAAATGGCAATCCTAGCTAGCCATGTACTTTGAGGGGTACATTCCCTTATTAACCCAATTACATTGCTATAGTAACCACGACTATTGCCATTCTTGACAGTTACGACGTTGCATCTCGTAACTGCCACGTGCAGTTACTGGGCAGTCAAGGGACACGACCGTTGACTGTATTCGACTGTTGACCTTCGGGTGACCCTCGATCTTTTGCAAGCTCTATATGAGCTATTGCGATACTGATACAGTCGCGTTGCTTCGTTATGGAGTGACGCGAGAGTGGAGAGCCTTCGGGAATGTTTTCATAACCTTCTCGGTTATTCCAACAAACGACAATGTTGGTTACCCAGTTTCCTATCAGTTGTCGCAGCATAGACAAGAGTACATGGCGACTAGAGTTGACTCTGCTTCCAGTCGACACCTGTCGCAAGAAGGTAGTAGGCTGGCGAAATCTTGATTTCCCTTATGCGAATCAGAACGAAGTACACCGTTTCGTTGGTGGGATGGGTTAGGGAAACTAGGGAGAGAATTACCGCGGCGCGGGCTTTGGTTTCGTGAAATTTTATTATCGCGCTCAATTTTTTCCACAACACGAAACCCTGGCACTCCACCTTCTATCCCGCGCGTTCCGCGCTCCCGAAATTTTGGTTTATATAAACACCATAAGGGTTTTTTTTGGGGGGTTTCCAATTTGTCGGTGGACAGTTTGCCGGTTGAAGTCGAACTTCTCTGCCACGCAGTATCATCCGATTGGTTATTTCTTTCCTGACAGTGTGGAAAGTCGGTTTGGCAAAGGTTGAGCACGAACAGGTTCGGCATTGAGTTTCGGTTGAACGTGTCGATACATAATCGGCCAGAGCTATTTAACCATTCGGTTGTGGGTGTAGAGCGCATGTACAGATACAGTAATGTAAACCTTCCACACAAATATATGATATGTCGGGCGACTCGTTTAAATAATGTCGTTTCTGAACACCCTTCCACGTGCGTGCACTTGTGACAGACATGTTATGTAGGAACGCATGAAGATTGGTGGGTTGGCGGCGGCTTCGCTTTTTATATAGGATTCTCGCACCACTTTTGAAGATCTATGCCACATGTCTCATCTTGATTTGTTTAGTTGTATTCAGTTCCTGTTGATAAACACGCCGGCGGTTCGAACACAATTTTGTCACCGCGATTTTTGACGAGACGCAATGATCACAACCACCGCCAAGATTATGCCACCTGGGTCTGACAGGTGAATTGTTGTTGTTCCTAGCTGTGATTTGAAGTGTCAGGGATTTCGTGTCCATTCTACACCAACACCAAATGCCGTTCAATCTGTCATTCATACCAGCCTTCGTGTCGTGCCCAAAAAATACATGGGCTTAGGTTTACCACCTACATATTGCGATGGGATAACATAGTTGTACTGGCAGAACCACAATGGTGGAACCTCTGGCTAATGGCGGTGATATGTATGACATCATCCTAGAGTAGTTCCACATAGAGTTTGAACCTGAGGAGGGACCTACTATCAATGACAACGCTGCCTACATTAAGGCTACCAGAAAGGCATCGGCGCTTCCCTTGTGCTAGAGTCAGAAGCTTGGTTTGGAGCCAGAATGTCCATGGCGGTGCAGCTATGCTCGCATCCAGCGAAACGGGCCGTGGCAAATCGTACAGCTGTCCGATCCCTCGGAGCACACTTGTGACCGTGTCTACCAGGGCCGATGGTGGCCGAGAATGGGGCGTAAGAGGAAGTACATTTGGCGGAAATTTGGCAACTTCGTCTGTGCAACGCTTTTTAACCCCCTTCGGACTACGCCACGCAGATTCAGGCCTCCTCTGGTCCGAAGTTACTGTAACTTACAACAACGCTTACCCGTGAGCGTACATCCGTCATACTCCAAACGTGTGGTCATCGTCTCTGATAACGACTCAGTACATCCCCGTCACTCATGTCCTGATTCCACCCAAATATTCCACCTGCACATACTGAAGGTAGGGATCACGGAGCAGCAATTCGGCGACTGGTGCGAGTCATTCCGCTACATTCCGGCGCTGCAAGAGCAAATTCGACTGATCGATAGCGGAGCCACCGTGGAGCTACTGGCGTATAATCACGAATTTCTCCACTTTTTCATGGCGCCGAGTGCAACCCGCGAAGCACTGCAGACTTGCAGGCCTGTCATCACATTTTTTTATCCGTGCTCAGAAAGCTACTCAGCTTTACGCCAATGCGATGGATAGCAATCAGCAGATCATCAACATCGCGTGGGCGCTCATTGAGAGCGAGACCAAGGACACATGGACTTGGTTTTGCCGGCTCTTTGATGAGCACTATTCCGACTGGAAGGGGCGGGACGACGCGGCTACCATCAGCGACGGTGACAAAGGCCTCATCCCGGCGGTGAAGGAAGTGTTCCCAAAGAAGGTGGCGCACTACTTCTGTGGGTCACACATGCAGCAGAACGTGAAGCGGTTCGTGGACATGTTATGGCGGCTTTTGACAACAAGGTCGTTGATGAAGTACAACGACCTCAAGGCTGGTGCACGGGAATCCCATCTGCTGCTCACGACTTACCTCTACGGTCCGGCACCTGTGGCCGACGCGCCGGGGCCAAACCCCACTCCACCAGCTGGCTTTCGAATTCGCAGACGCAACGTTCGGCAAACAAGCCGGACACGCTCGACCGCCAACAATATTGCGGCCGATGCAGCAGACACACGGCGGCATGCTCGAGCATCACAGTCGCGCCAACACGGCTGGCGACAGAGACAGAGCGGCGCAGGACGCCTACCTCCGCATTTTGTAGTGCCAGGGCCATCGTCAGCGCCAGGACCATCAGCAGCGACTCGCCCAACCGCACCACCCTCTCCCTCCTCTACGCCCCGCCCATCTGCACCACCAACATCATCTGCAGCACCAGCATCATCCGCAGTGCCCTGCCCATCCGCAGCGCCAGGGCCTTCCGCAGCGCCCTGCCCATCCGCAGCACCGTCACCCGCTTCTGCGACCCGCCCATCCGCAGCACCGACATCATCCGTTGCACCAGCATTATCCGCAAGGCCCTGCCCATCCATAGCGCCCTGCCCATCCGCAGCGCCAGGACCTTGCGCAACGCCCCGCCCATCCGCAGCACCATCACCCACTTCTATGACCCGCCCATCCGCAGCACCGGCATCATCCGCTGCCCCTGCATCATCCGCAGCGCCCTGCCCATCCGCAGCGCCAGGGCCTTTCGCAGCGCCTCGCACGTCCGCATCTGTAGGACCATCTGCATCACCGTCACCATCCACTCCGTCCAACCCATCTGCAGCACCAGGTTCTTTTGAATCACCGTATGTCAATGCGATCGTTCGATCTTGAGTACCATGTTATGTGGGGTAAGTATTTAATTTAGCACAACATAATATTTAAAAGCATTGCATACGACCCATCTGAATTGTCAACAAACTTTCATGCGTTGATTGCTCATAAACCCCCTCTTCACATTATTCCTTAATCAGCGGTAGGGTACAAAGCAAATAAGCTCCCGGCATTTGCGGTATGCATATTGCAGCCCATCATTCAAAAACAAGCGCACCATCAACATCACAGTGGGCCTCGCATCCACTACGACAATCTTCACCGATCATCCTGCCTAGTGGATGGCGTGGAAGAGCCATGTGCTTCAACTTTGACAATATCGTGCCGAGAGCTGCGGTTCTAGGAGTCGTACCACCGACTGAGGCACATACCCGCAACCCTCTACCGACTGCGGCACCAGCCCGCGACCCTCCACCTCCCGCCCATGCTCCAGGACTGTCGATTGGGCACAACACCAATGAGAGGCCCACATGTTAGAGGACAAGGCGACGTTGGTGGAAGAAGACTCGTTGGAGGACGGGGAGGATGATGTTTGGGTCCGTACAGGCTTACGCGGTGACTATACTGCACGAAGGAACAAAATTCGGGTGTATGAAAAGCAATGGGCTTGCTGTGCAAAGATAACTACTACAATGGGAGCTAGACTACGGGCTAGGCACGGGTGCTCGTGTGATCTCTGCGGATGATTGGCGGGCTGAGCCTCGTCACCTGCACGATGCATACACCAAGTCAACCTGGCGCTGATAACTACTTTTGATAAGCCACGTCAACCTCGGGATACCACCACCGAGGTCGGGCTCGCCAACTTTGCCTGGGCGACCGTCGCTCTCCTCCGCAGAACCTCGTCACCCAGGTAACCTGGTCGACCGAACTGGTCGACCGGGCAACCACGTCAACCAGCTGCTCCCGTATGTGCCCGTCGACCTCCCAAGTCGACGGCCACCTCCACGTCGACCTCATTAGGTCGACCACGCCCCTGGTCGACCAGCAGTCGTCGACCAGCTCCACGTCGACCAGCAGTCCTGGTCGACCAGCTTCATATCGACCAGCGCAGTTGTCGGCCGACCACCCAAGTCGGCTACCCGAAGTCAACGTCACGAAGTTGACACCCAGCTACTCGACGCCCAACTGCTCGGCGTCCTGAGTCGAGGTCGACGTCGGCCCCTCCTTCGTCGACCACCAGGTCAGGTCGACCACCAACAGGTCGACCAGCATGCCTGGTCGACCAACCACCAGGTCGACCAGGAGTCCGTCAACCAACCACCCAAGTCGGCTGCCCCAAGTTGATGTCACCAAGTTGACGTCCTCCGCAGGTCGACTTCCCAAGTCGACCTCCCTGAAGTCGGCGCCACCCTGAAGTCGGCGCCCGTGCAGTGGTCTCCATGCAAGTCGACCTCCTTGTCAACCAACTCACCCACTGCTACAGGTCGGCTGCTCCCCTCACACCTGTGAGGATCTGGGATCGAGCTCAGTAAAGATGATTCAAATTGAATTGGATTGAATTGAATGTCCACCTGGGTACAACACGAGGCTATATATAGGCTCGACACAAGGCCCCGTAACCAGGTGTTACGCGAAGGTTCCGCGGGTCGCGAAGCGTCCCGAACAGATCCTTACCATATTCGGTAGAAGGCAATTCGGTGGCAAACGAAAAGCCAGAATTTGGTGCACGCAACCTAGCTCGGTGCTATAACTAAAATAAAATATAGGAAAGCACCTAGCCTAGGAAATCAAGCAATTCATGCATGCATATGATTATCCTATGCTAGAAATAGCATGATAAAGTAGAGGGAAGCAAGCATAGCTGGCATAAGCTGTCGTACTCTCACACGTCCCCCCCTCAAAGCTGGGTGGCGTGAGATACACCCTGCTTGACAAGATAGTCCTTGAGAGCACGGCGTGCGTTGCCCCTATCAGCTTCTGCAACCCAACTGTCCTCACTGGGGTCGTATCCCTTCCAGCGTATCAGGAACTCGAGAGTCTTGCCACCGCGGCGCCGATGAGAGAGAACGCGCTCGATCTCGTACTCGGGTTCATCCTGTATGAGAACAGGTGGTGGTGGCGGTAGTTGCCGTCCCTGGAACTGTTGGTTGGGGTCCTTGTAGGGCTTCAGTAGCTGGACATGGAAAGCGTTGTGAAGCTTCCATGTATCTGGTAAGCGCAAGCAGAATGTAACTGGTGTCACCTGTGCCTCAACGAGAAAAGGACCACAGAAGCGAGGCCGGAGTTTGGATGGAAGGTGAGACAGGTTCAAGTTGCGTGTGTCAAGAAGCACCTGATCTCCAACTGCTACTGATTGATCACGTCGCTGACGATCGGCATACTGCTTCTAGGAGTTCTGCATCGTGGTGAGACGTCGCTGAGTCTTCTCCCATAGCTGCTGCATGGTGGTGACGAAGTCATGTGCGGCTTGGACGTGTGCCGGTGTAGTTGGCTGCTGTGGTGTGAGTGGTTCCCGTTCGTAACACAGGAAGAAAGGAGTTTTCCCTGTGGCCGCATGTGATGCGTTGTTGTAAGCGAACTCTAGGGTTGGTAACTGTGTGTCCCAGAGGCTGACGTCGTCCTTGCAAGCTATGCGCAGTAACTGTTCAACCACTTGATTGAGTCGCTCTGTCTGTCTGTCAGTCTGGGGGTGGTATGCTGAAGACATTGCAAGCTTTGTCTCCAACAGTCCCATGAGCTCCTTCCAGAACTTACTCGTGAATTTGGGGTCTCTGTCTGAGATGAGTGTAGCGGGGATGCCGTGGATGGTGATGATGTGGTCGAAGAAGAGTCGAGCAGTTGCTTCAGCTGTAGCTGTGGCGTTGGTCGGTATGAAGTGACCCATTTTGAAGAACTTATCGATCACCACGAGGATGGAATCATGTCCCCTTGAGGTCGAAGGAAGCCCTGTGATGAAGTCGAGGCTAACGACCTGCCATGGCTGCTGCGGTACGGGTAGAGGCTGAAGTAACCCTGCTTTTTTCTGCTTGCTGCTCTTCATCCGCTGGCACGTGTCGCAAGAGGTGACAAACTGCTGCACGTCTGCTGCCATCCCGGGCCAGTAGTAATACTTCGCTATCCCTGATAACGTCTTGTTGCTCCCGAAATGTCCCGCGTAATTTGGTACCCAAATCTTTCCTGAACCCTTCCTTACAGCTAAGTCTTTCTCCCACAATAATAGCTTCTTGGTCTGTGCTGTAGCAATCTCTGCGTCCACGGACTACCCATGTTGGAATAGACCCTTGAGCAGAGGGTTCATCCCGTCGAGCTGGATGCCTGCTACATGTCCGGGGCGGCTCAACGCATCTGCCTTGTTGTGTAGCCCGGGCTTGTAGACGATGTCGTAGTGGAAGTGAGTTTCCAGGAAGTCCACCCACCGCACCTGTCGTCGTGAGAGTGTCGGCTGTGACTTCAGGTATTTGAGACTATAGTGGTCAGTATAGACTGTAGTCTTGGCTCCCTCTAGGTAACACCTCCACGCCTTGAAGGCTATGACTATCGCTAAGGCTTCCTTGTCGTGAATGGGGTAGTTTAGTTCTGCTCCGAGTAGCTTCTTACTGAGGTAGGCGATGGGCTGCAAACCGCGTCCGTGATCCTGCATCAGTACTGCTCCGACTGCTTGGTCACTAGCGTCTGCTTCCACCACGTAGTCCTTGTCTGGATCCGGCAAGATGAGTACTGGCGCTGTAGTCAGTGCTGTCTGTAGCTGCTCCATGGCTTGCTGATGAAGGGTATCCCATTTGTAGGGCGTATCCTTTTTCAGTAGGTCGGTTAGTGGCGCTGCTATCTTAGCGTACTGCGGCACGAACCTGTTGTTGTAGTTGGCGAAGCCTAGGAACTGCTGTAACTCCTTCACGTTCTCTGGTACTTTCCACTTCTTGACGGCTTCGATCTTCCGTGGGTCTACGTGTACGCCCTCGGCACTCACCATGTGCCCGAGAAAAACTGCACCTTCTTCAGGGCGAAGTCGCTCTTTGACAGCTTCACGTAGAACTTGTTTTTCCGCAGGATCTCGAACACCTTCCACGTGCTCCTCCATGTTCTTGGAGTAGATGAGAATGTTGTCCAGGTACACCACCACGCACTCGTCTAGCAGGGGTCGTAAGATGTGATTCATCTCCGCCTGAAACGTTGCTAGTGCGTTGCAGAGTCCGAACGGCATCACCAAGTATTTGTAGGAGCCGTATCTGGTACAGAACGCTGTCTTGTGGACGGAGTTGTCTGCCATCTTGATCTGCTAGTAGCCCGATCGTAGGTCCAGCTTTGAAAATACTGTTGCTCCACGCAGTTGATCGAGTAGGTCGTCTATGCGCGGTATGGGATATTTGTTTTTGACTGTCTGTTTGTTCAGTGCGCGGTAGTCGATGCACATCCGTAGACTGCCGTCTGGTTTTGGAGTGAAGAGAAATGGTGTGCCGTAGGGAGAGGTGGATGGGCGGATCAGTTGTCTGTCCAGTAGATACTCTATCTGTTTCTTCATGTCTGTCAGTTCAGTTGGACTCAGTCGGTATGGTGCACGTGAGACGGGTTTCGCACCTGGTTCCTCCACGATCTCGTGCTCGTGGGTGCGTGCTAGAGGTACGCCTGCAGGTAGGTCGTCGGGCATTATATCCTTGTACTGCTCCAAGACCTAATTCACTGCTGCAGGTAGCTCGGAACTCGGCTTCTCCTCCTCTGCTGCTGCCATAACCAGTGCTAGGTAACCCGTGTTACTCTTGTTCACCGTCTGTTCAAACCGTGCCAGTGTCGTTTCAGGTACGTCCCCTGTATCCGTCCAGCTTCGCAGCTCCACTCGTTTCCCGTTGTTGTAGATGCACACCTTGCTGTTGACCCAATCGATCTCGGGGTTGAACTGCTTCAGGAAATCTCGCCCGAAGATAAAATCTAATCCTTTGATGTTGGTGACTGGTAGCATCGGCTTCCACCTCAACGCACCTATATGCAGTTGCAGTGATGCTTCGCCGTGGATAGGAAGCTTCGTACCGTCCACCATGGTTGCTGAAAACTGGGTCTCTTCCGCCTTCTCTCCAATTTTCTCCAATGCTCCGCGGTCACACACCGAGTGAGATGCACCGCTGTCCACCAGTGCCTGGAGGCGTCGCCCATTGCATAACACCTCGAGGAGTAGTGGTTTCTGCTGTGCTGAGTAGCCAAGGAGGGTCTCGTTAACAGGATCATAGGGTACATCAAACTTAATACCTTCCCTTTTTCCTATACCTGACTCAGCGCTTTCCAACTTCACCTGGGGGGTAGGAGGATTTTTCCGAGGCTTGTATAATTTTTCCTGAGCCTGGATGTCTCCTCTAAGCCTTGGCAGCTGTGTAGGCTTTATCTGTGGGGAACAGGAAGCCTTTAAAGAGTGCTGCTAGGAGAGAATATTAACTCCTCGGAACGCTCGACCTGTATTAGCGCTCTGGAGTAGGGTCCCCATAATACCCGGTACCGGTTTAATTTCTGACTCTCCCTTAATAAAGGCTTGAAACCCACGAG